GCAAACTGATCTATTGTAATACTTTGGATACTCACAGAAAAAAAAACATCTGAAAGAGTTTAGGAACTTTTGGACTGTAGACTGGAGTTTGGACTCTATTCTGCCGCTGATTATTTTGACATTTGTGTTAATGGAGAGACAACAGAAAAGCGGCAGTTTTAGACAAAACTTTGCATCTGGTTTCTTTTTTAAAAAGTTGAGAAAAGTTCATCTCTTAAAAATTACATGTGATTTGGACCAATCAATTGCAACCAAGAAGAGGTGTTGTTTCCAGCAATGCAGCCAGATACAGTAGAACAAATACAAATTGAACGCGCTGAGAGACAATGACATCAGCTTCCTACTTTTAATCCTAGAACCTAAGCAACACATGTTTCTGTCTCAGCTTTTTGGCTTCAGAGACGGTGATAGAGCATTAACATTGAAAAGATGTGAAAACGGATGTTGTTCCCCTTTGCAAGCAAGGAGTGTGAAGATTTGTAGTTTATACAAGCCAAAACTTGTCAAATACAATTTTTCCATACTCATATATTCTGGATGCTATTCTTTTTTATTTCAATTTGAACCTAACCTGACTTTTAATGTCATGTAGGACACTGTCCAGGACATTTCTAAAGTATTAATAAGTAGCGGAAATGATCACTGACAGGAAATGTTCTCTGCTTGCAGCTAGAAATACAAAAAATAAGTTAAACCTCTGCGCCATCACTCCCACACACAGAGAAAGAGACTCACAACTTGTGCACACATGTGGACTGAAATGCTGCCATTCACTGCGCTTTGAACCTCTAAATAGCGTTCTGGCACTTCCCGCTGGGATTCAAGACGCTTATGTCGCCCAGTGTCCCAATAAGATGAAATGCTCAACTTAAAACAGAAAAAAAGTAAAAAAAACTATCAAATAAAATTGAGTCAATTGTCAACACCTTCACCATTCAATTTGATGGAACTCTAACAAGCTAGCAGGACTTGAAGAAGGAAAACGATGCATGAAAACACACTATGCATCGACAGCAGTAGTAACACTCAGGCCTCAGCGTGTAAACTGTGTGCTCGGCGCAAGCTTCAGGCTTGTGACAGGTCAAGGGAGAGTCTGCTGCTCTGAGTCTGCACGTGTAAACAAGGAGAAAGGAGTAAAACTGTTCTCCCTCAGGTTCCCTCAGGTTCTCAGACCACTGGGTTTCTGGGACGTTAAGTCTTTAAGAGTTACATCATGCCAACCTTTTGGACCAGCCAGCATGCACAGTTGTATAGTGCAGCTTTAATGCTGAAGAGACCAAACATGTCTATTAAGTAATGGTCCTCCTCTTGAGCTGCGTCAGCCAAAACAAGTGACTACAAAGACAAAAGCCTCTCCAGCAGGCGCCTCTGAGATGATAAAAGTCTGGGTTCTTGCTCCTGTCATGGGGATTGAACATGTGACCTTTCAACTGTCGACCAATCTCTCTGCTGTCACGGAGCCTCTTGATCAGAGCTGTTAAAGCTCTGTCCTATCTGCATGGAGATAAGCATGTAGGAATAATGGCAGCTCTTAACCTCATGATGAATGGAGCACAACTCCTCCGCCATTTTGGTTTCAACCTCTGTTTATATTCATCACTCTCCCCACTTCGCTTGTCCAAAACTAAGATTTAGGATCAGATGCGCTGACCCAGAAAATACTATATTGTACGTAATCTGGCCATCAATGCAGATGTTTTCAACCCGAGATGAGACGTGAACCTGCCAGCTAGGAAATATGGATGTGTTTGAATTCACGGGAGACGCTGGCCGAGCCATGAAGTTGGGAGAAAAGCCAAAGGAGGCAACGTAAGGGCTGGAAAAGAAAAAAAAGTAAAAGTCAAGTGAGAAGTCAAACAAAAAAGCAAATGTGGATAACACAGAGTTGAATCCGTGTGCACGTCGGAAAACTGGCAGCTGCTGCGAGTGTGTGAGTGTGTGTGTGTGTGGGGCGAATGGGCCTCCCGTGCAGTTATGCTGGAGCCACTTAGCTTTTGGATGGCCTGCATTTAATTTAAGAGAGGCCGGTTGAAAAGCCCGGTTTGATTGCTTTTCTAAAACAACCTCATCTGAAGGCCTTAAATAACCAAATACGTCTGTGACGACGTTGAAGCCGTTCCAAACTCTTGACTATATCTCTGTGCCTGGGAACACTGGCATCAGCCGTGTGGTTACGCCGTGAGTGGGAGGCTCGGGGGGAGGAGAGTCTTGAAATGAAATTAGGATTAGAGCAGTCAATTCCTCCAGGATCCTGCTGGTCTGAAGCCAGGCAGCTCTTAAACCTGTTTCTGGGTCTGTCACTTATCTTTCCAACTCCATCCTCCTTAATTGTTCTACTCTTTCAACTTCTTTCCTTCTCTCTCTATCTCTATCAGCCGCTCTTTGTCTTCTGGCATTTTACAAGGAGGCCAGAGCCGGGTCTGCAGAAGGTAACAGACGTAAACCTGGACACACTTTCAAAGCTTTCTTGTTCACACACACACACAGACACACGAGTGGATTGGCCAGGAGCAGGAGGAGGAACTGCATCGGTGTAGGCTCTGAAGATGTGATTCATTACAGCACTGTGTCAACCACCGCCTGATATGAAATAACAGCAGCTAATGCTAGTTTCCATAAGTCACAAGTCCAAATTTCCACATTACAGTTTCACTTATTTTTTTTGCCAATCACAAAGACATTTGGTGTTTGAAATACATCATTTTTGCCTCAGAATCTAGCTTTGGAAGCAAGTTTTTTTTTTTTTTTTTTAAAGCTAGAGAAATGAGTGTCTCTGAGCAATTCCCTGGACCTTTAATTGCTATAAACAGATGCATATGAATGTAGAATCTGTACAAAATTCGGCCTCGAGTGCGTTCTGGTTTCTCTTTCTTGTCTGAGTAATATTAAGTAATCGTGTTTGAGCAGGCGTTGGTTGAGTGGAGAGCAAAAGAGGCGGGATGCATTGGCCGAAATGCAATCTGGGAAGCCACCATTTTTTACTGTTTTAAAATAAGCCTGTAAACTGGCTACTTGTTAATTAAACAATCCGGTCGTGCACGTCACGTCTGTACTGCAACTCCATTCTCGCGCCTCAAGTTGCGAATCGGACTGTTGACAATAACAATAACAATTGCCTGGATATCTGTTATCTGTCATCCTGATGTTCGCTTGCTACAACCCAAAATGACAGTAGATGGCAGCACAGAGCCCTGCGACCGGCTCACAATTGCGATGCCAACCCATAAATCAGGCTAAAGGTGATGCTGTTTTTGCCGTCACCCCGGGAAGCCCTCCTGGAAAGCAGTCTCTATAGTGGACCCCCCACGCAGATCGAAACTTGGTACTCCCACAGCCATGCACAAGGGGAGAATGGAAACCATGCAGGACAAAGGAATCAGACACCATCACGCTTTATCTCTTCTCTGTTGCGGTCTAAAAAGTCAACCTTGCCTTGCTTCAAAAATGTTGTGACATATGTGACATCACATGTGGGAATCAAGTTCAAACCGGTCAGACATGCACAGAGCTATGTGTTAGCAGCAGAAAACACTAAGGTCAGTCACACAACACACTTGGAAAACTCATTAGAAAAACCTCCAAGGATAAAGTGAAGCTGCATAAGACTGTGCTACTTCTGGCATTGAAATATATTGCAAACTTTCAACAGCTATGGCAGTTAAATTCTCAAGTGAATAAAGTCAATAAAATCACCAGCAGGACTTTTACATGACCAAAGTTTAGGTTATGCGTCAAATGATTGTTTATATATATTGTTTGTGTGTGTGTGTTCTCAATGCTAACCTAGAACAGAAGAGGGGGGTAAGGTTTCAGACCATGTCCCCACAGTGTTACCTTAGACTACAAAAGTGGGGTGTTGTGGGTCATGTGTGTATATGTGTGTGTCCTTAATCACAATTCAACCTTGAGGAATGGCTGATGTCATCTGCATAATTGAGCTCTGAGAACAAAACATGGACAATGTGCTCTCCTTCTAAATGTGTATAGTACTTGTCTCTCCTCTCTCTCCACCTTTCTGTATTTCTTTATTTTACTCCTTTCTTTTTCTCTCTGAATGAGGCTGGACAAACTAGTGATGAAGGAAAGTCATGTGGAAGAGCTGAAAGAGCTTGAATACAGCGCCAGGGAGTCATAGTCTATGGGGTCCGTCCATGCACACAACCCATGCTGTATTCAAATAGAAATGTATAGCTAAACTTACTAACTAGGCTCCTTACATGGTTGCTAATAACTTTTTTGAAGAGTTGGGTCTCAGGAAAATAGAAAGACTAACTTATGAGATTTAAGTTGACTCTACTCAGGTCTTCTTCTCAATGGGAGGTCTTCCAATCGTTAGTGGATCGCTGATAGCGTCATTCCCTTGGACGGATTTAAAAAATAAATACTAAAATGGGTTGCCAAATATACTTTGGAGACAGTTATACCTGGGTGGCCCGCCCATATAAAGTTTGTGTGTGGGACACACTGCTTTTTATTTATATATATATATATATATTGTCACTCTTATTTATTGTCTTTCAGATCATTTTATGAAGTATATTTTCATTATTTTTTCTTTGTCTCAGTATAAGATTATGTTGTTATTTTGCACACAAGCACATAGTAGACTGTGATTTATACTTTTCATAATCTTCACTATCAGCAAGCATTGGACAGAGAGCAATATGTGGAAGTTCAAGATCATCATCAGCCAATATGAATTTCCAAATGATCTAATACTGGCTTTTGGTGTTAAAGTAAACATAAATTGATTTGAGATTTCAAAATGTAGCAGCTATAAACAAAATAAATGTATCTTAACTTGTATCTTAAGTTCTGAGCCTAATTTTCACTCTTTGTGGGCTAACGTATAAACAGCTGTCCATTGTTAAAATGTTTTTTTGGGCCCCTAAAAGTATCCAAAAGTAGTAAATTAATTAGCTCCCCAACTACCAAAATCATAAAAGTATTTCACACACGTCAGAGACATACAGCTAATGGAAGATCAAGTCACACCCTACCTGCCAGGCAGAGTCCGAAGATGGTGAGAAAAACCAGGATGTAGAGGGAGACGATGGCGTACTTGATGGCTGAGAGGGAGTTCATGTGAGCGCAGCACTGATCCTGCTTCCTGCGACGCTTACAAGAACCTGACCAGGACAACAAAAAATTATGATCTGAAACAATACAAAAGTCCAAATAGAATAATAACGTGATAATAAATATTTTGCAGTCGCAATATGCCAGGTTCTCTAATGAATAAAACAGCAAAAGTAAATTGGCTTTTAGAATAAACATTTTTATAATTGTTGCTTGAAGATTTATTGGACTTCTAATATTTTTGCATCAAGACTTAGGCAGCAACCGGAAAACATTAGCTTTGTTGTTGTAAACACACTCTTTTCTTACAATGTGCCAAGGACTGGTGGTCGAAGCTAAAGCAAATCATTCCAATGCTTTTTTTTATTTTTTATTTTAAATAAAAGCCTGACATTTACTGGTAGGATGACGTACTGTGTGTTCATAAAGTGAGATCACACACTAAGCACTTAATGACTGCGGTGCACAAAATCAAGTTGTTGTTGTTGTTTTGTTTACATCAGAGCATACTGAATAGAACGTACACTTAATGACAAATAAGCAAGCAGCAACATCAAACACATTCTCGGTTTATTGGTTTTAAATGGTCTTAATTGCATGATGAGTAATTATGTCTGCATGTGGCCAAACTAAATGGTTTGAACATTGTGGCGAAAGACACACACACACACACACACACACACACACACACACACACACACACA